AAAACTCGTAATTAATTAAATTTTTTCGCGATTAAACGCATTTACTTGAACATATTCATGGTTGCCGTATAATTCAATATCTAATCTAANGGTCAATTAACTGATCAAGAATCAGGTCATATCAAGAAAACCGCTGATCATCGCGCTGCAATCAATCAATACCGATCAAATTTCAGATCTCTCATCGATGGCCGCAGGTCTGACCACTGTAGATCACTACAGCAAACACTCTCTAGAACAATTTTTTGACGTTTACGGGTCATATTTCGGTCCAGTAAAGGAATTCGTTTTGGACTTTCTATTGGCCATCTATCAACCACACGATATCACGGATAATGACCACATTGCATGGCTTCAAACCAAGAGTAATGTCAGTTTACGATTAATTCACAACGTATTTGTGACAATTTTGACAAAATCTCATGACAATTTACGACAATTTGTGATAATTATGACAAACTCATGACAACAATGACAAATATGACAACCACTTATGACCAAATCATTTGTGACTTTTTCATAATCGCTACTAAATTAAGTCATACATTCTAGATATTTACCGGAGCTGGTTTCACGAGTTTTATAGCAACCGAAGCCAACTGGTATCTGGAGAATAATAACTCAAACGTTTACATGTACGAGTTTGAGTACGTTTCTGCAGTGGGTCGTATATTCAAAGTGCCCGGATGGAATCGTGAGTTACTTACTTACTTACTTACTCGATTGATTGTCTCCATTTTACAAAAAAAATATTTTTAACAGAATTTTCAAATTATAATCAAACAACACTATATGATATGCGGATTCAGAAAGGAGAAAAATTTTTTTCAATATTCATTTCATTGGGATTTTATTATATCGAAAAATGTGTCAATCAAAATTTTTGGTACACCTATATAACGACCGAAAACTCGTAATTAATTAAATTTTTTCGCGATTAAACGCATTTACTTGAACATATTCATGGTTGCCGTATAATTCAATATCTAATCTAACTAATTAACGAAAAAAAAGTAAGAAAATCGATAATATTTGAGCGTATTGGTAGCTTGAACACAGCGCACTCGGTATAGTCACTCGTTTGACAAAACATTATTGACGCAGCGCGGGATTGAACTTGCGACTTGTTCTATCATAAATTTCCGGAGGCCATAACTTTCTTCCAAATCGTCAAATTGTCAAAATTTTGGCTTTATCGTGATCTACTCGTTAAGATAAATCGATTGGTATCAAAATTGTTGAAATTTGAGAGAAAAAATTTTTCAAGAAAATTCCATGTGTTTACCCCCTTACGATTGAAAAATCCGAAATTTCGCTAGGCCATATCACAGCTTAGGATTGACATAGAAAGGTGGTTAAAACAGCATTCGAGAGCTATTGCAGAGCTGATGAGCTGGGTTAGAAAAAATTCTATGGTATTCGACGGGAAACCCGTGATCTGAGACCCTAAAAATCACAAAAATCGACATTTTGGGATTTTGGCTTGATCGAATCAATTTTCTAGAATTCAGCAAATTGGGTACCAATCGATAGGTTTTGCTTCCCTGAACGTTGCCTAGGTCGATTTATCCATATTATCATGGATTTTGATGAGTTATTGAAGAAAATTAACGAAAAATAATAGTAATCGAATATACACACATAGGCAGTACAAGCAAAGCGCTTAGCTGGATGATATACCTTCAGAAAATTGGCCATATCTAGGCAACTAAGCAAAATCACTCGACAAGATATATATTTTTCTGATAGCTGAGATTCTCTTCTATATGATAAGATCAAAAAATTGCCACGTTACTGAGCAAAACTGAGCACATAGGTACCTTGAATATGGTACTCGTGATATAAAGTGTCCAAAATGATTTTGATATACCTTCAAAAAATTAGTCATATCACAGCAACTAAGCAGAATCCCTCGACAAAACACATACAATTCTAGTGGCTGAGATCCTCTTCTATCCAACGACGTCAAGAAACGGTCATTAAAATGAGTCAAACTGAGCATAACGCTACCCTGAACACACTATTCGAGAAAACTATCAGCCTGAGGTGCGATCCAAATAGAAAATGGAATAAAATAAGCGCAACCGAACAGGAGATTAACATTGAACTGGACTAAACGAAGGCATTCCACATAAGGCAATCACTGCATCGATAAATTAGTCTTGATCGAAGGCTGATCGCAATTGATCTACGAATAGTGTAGTAATAATATTGCGCTATGATCATCTCGCAGCTATTTTGATCAGTTTCAATTAGAAATATCTCAGAGATAGCTTCAGAAAATTGGCCATATCTAAAGAAGTAAGCAAAATTCTCCGACAAGATACATATTTTTCTGATAGCTGAGAATCTTCTCTATATGATAGGATCAAAAAATAACCACGTTATTGAGCAAAACTGAGCACACAGGCACCTTGAATATGGTACTCGTGATATAAAGTGTTCCAGATCATTCTGATATACCCTCAGAAAATTGGCCATATCTAGGTAAATAATCAAAATTCCCCAACAAAATATATATTTTTCTGAAAGCTGAGATTCTCTTCTATCTGAAACAATCAGAAAATTGCCATGTTACTGAGCAAAACCGAGGAGATGGCTGCCTTTAATGTGGTACTCGTGATATAGAGTGACTAGTGATCAAGACCGTTCAGAGATAGCTTCAGAAAATTGGCCATATCTAGAGAACTAAGCAAAATTCCCCAACAAAATATATATTTTTCTGAAAGCTGAGAATCTCCTCTATCTGATTCGAACAGAAAATTGCCACCTTACTGAGCAAAACTGAGCACACTGGCGCGTCGAATGTGGCAGTCGTGTTACAGATTGCCCAAAATGACTCTGCTCTACCTTCAGAAAATTAACTGTATCTCAAGAACTGCACAAAGTCTTTCAGTAGTTCATTTGAGATCCTAATAGCAGAGAATCTTCTCTAATCACATACATCAAAATATTTCACAATCCTAAATCCGAGGGTACAGAACGTCCAAAAAATTGCCCCTCACGATATTTATAGACCAGTTTTAATGATTAAACAATACTTTTTAGCGGTTCCGCATACAGCCGAGTTGCCGTTCATCTGGATGCAGGAACCGATCTGGCGTAAAGCTATCGACAGCCTCGAGGTGGTGCCTGGTGACTATGAGATGGCCGATTTCTTCGGTAAAATGTGGACATTATTCGCGAAAACTGGCTTCAAATGGTACCGTTGCCTTTCAATTTTCTTTAAAAGTTTTCTTCTATCTTACTAAATTTTACCTATTATAACTAAATCTTAACTATATATCACTTAACTGCATGTTTTTGCCAGAAAAAGCACCGTATAAGGGCAAATTTAAAGATACAGGAGCTTTAGATGTGGTACTCGTCATATAGTATATGTTAGTGACCAAGATTCTGATATACCTTCAGAAAATTAACTGTATCTAAGAAACTAAGCAAAATCGCTCGAGAACATATATATAATTCTGAAAGCTGAGAATCTC